ACCGTGGCCCGCCATGTGGGATTCTAGCAACATAACTGCTATGCCATCTGCTGGTCCCCCATCCTCAGTTCACCAGATGTTCACCTGAACTTTCTTTTTTTTTTTTAAATAATTATATATTTTTTATTTATTCATTCATTTATTTCATTTTTTTATTTTGACCAGAGAGGGACAGAGCAAGAGAGAAGGAGAGAGTGGGAAAGTGAGAGAGCAATCCTCCAGGTCCAGGACTTGAACTATGGTTGTCCATGTGGGAATGCAGCACCTTAACTACCATGCCATGTTTTATTATTTATTATTTTGTAAACAGGGAAACTAATACCCAAAGAGATTAAATAACTTAACATTTTTTAATATTATTTTTACTATTTTATTATTATTTTTACTTTGTAAACAGGGAAACTGATACCTAAAGAGATGAAATAACTTATCGGGAACCAGCAGTTAGCGTAATGGCTATGTCGCTGGACTCCCACATAGTCGACCGCGGTTCGTGTCCCGGACCCGGTGGCTTAAAACTCACGCTGGGCGCGTGTGCGTGCGTGCCCAAGATCCCGAGAGGAGAATGGAGGAGAAGGGATTGCGGCGTGACCATCCCCAGGGGGGGTGATTTCTCGCTTTCTATCTCTATGTCTCTCTCTGTCTGTCTGGCGAGTGCACGCGCCCTACAATGAAAATCTCTCAAAAAAAAAAAAAAAAAAAAGAGATGAAATAACTTACCCAAAATTACACAGTAATCAAGTAGCACTGGACTCCCACATGGCCGACTGCAGTTTGAGTCACGGATCTGGCAGTTTGGTTTCTCACTCTCCCTCTCTCATTCTGTCCCTTTATGGCTGAATTAAAATAAATACTAAAGTTAATAATTCTTTAAAGTCATAATTAAAAAATGGGGACCAGAAGGTGGCATGGTGGTTAAGGCGCTGGACACTCCCACATAGCTAACCACAGTTTGAGTCCCAGACCTGGTGGCTTGCTTTCTCACTTTCCCTCTCCCTCTCTCTCTTTGTCTGTGTCTCTCTCTGGTCACATTTAAAAAATAAGTGAATGAATAAGTAAAAATACAATAATTGTTTTTAAAAAATCAAGTACAGGATTCTTTTTTTTTTTTTGGAGAGGTTTTTGCTATAGGGCACGGGTGCTCGCCAGACAGGCAGAGAGAGACAGAGAGACAGAAAGCGAGAAATCACCTCCCGGGGGCATGGCCACGCCATAATCCCTTCTCCTCCATTCTCCTCTCGGGATCTTGGGCACGCACGCACACGTGCCCGGCGTGAGTTTTAAGCCACCGGGTCCGGGACACGAACCGCAGTCGACTACGTGGGAGCCCAGCGACATAGCCATTACGCTAACTGCTGGTTCCCAGTGGTTGAATTCTTGCCTGCCACTCAGGAGGCCCGAGTTTGATTCCCAGCCTATGCACAGCAACTTATTTGGACCAGCAGATGGTGTAATGGTTACCTTGCTGGACTCCCGCACCTGGCGGCTTAAAACTCACGCCATGTGCACGTGTGCCCAAAATCCTGAAAGGAGAATGGAGGAGAAGGGATAATGGTGTGGCCATCCCCCTGGGGGTTGATTTCTTGCTTTCTCTTTCTCTCTGAGCACACACACCCGATGGCAAAAATCTCTCTCAAAAAAAAAAAAAGTCAGAGCCAGG